AGAGAAATACTGCAATGGATACAGACAGCCCCGTGCTTCCTGTGACCAAAGCCACAAAGGAAAAAAGTTCCCCCGCTGCTGCCCCGACCTGACATCAGCATGGTATGAATAACCCGGCTGGAGATCCCTTCCCCCTTTCTGCTGGGGAAACTTAACCCTGTCCTAGCTGAACCAGGACAGTGCTGGAACAAATGAATTTCTGTGAGGCAACCTCAGACTGGGCTCTCAAAGCACTGGCATCTTAATTTTGCAGGTCTTGGCCATTCTCAGCAGAGGTACAACCTTGCTGCCACGTGAGAGGTGTCAAATTCAAGTGATGCCCTGTCAGGATGCACCAGAAGCCTTCTGGAAGGACTGAGTTTGACGCACTTGAAGACAGCAGCATCCGTGGGAGTGGGGTTTGGTGGTGGGGAATGGGGCGTCACAAGAACCTGCTCCTTCCCAGGCTAGAGCTGTGGGCGCCGGCTCCCTCCCACACATTGCGCAATGCCCTGGAGGTGATCACAACTACTGCTTAACCTGGAAGAGGAACAGCAGGGAAGTTCGGATATGTTTTTGTTCCTATTGTTTAAAACACAATTTAGCATCTGGAAAGAGCAGTCAAGGCCACGTGACTGTCCGCTTCCTGTGCTACTACTGAGTGCCCCATGATGTGATTTGTAAATATTTATTCTGGATAATTTTTCTGTGTCCTACTGAATTATTTTCTTCTCTGCAGAACAGTTGCAGAAGCGAGGGCTTGGGGACAGCCAGCCCTCGTGCCCTGCGGTGTCCCCACCCCAGCCAGCTTGGAAAGGAGGAAATACCACGGTGATGCCCCCCAGCACACTGAATGTTTTTGACTGACCGATTTTCACCCCCAGAAGTGCTTTCCTCCCTCAGCCATGCTCCTTGCATGCATCAGAAACATGAAAACAGAGCCCTGTGCCCTACTGGGATCTGAGGACTGTCAGAGATTTTAATTTTTTTTTCCTAACAGGCAAATCGAATTTTAACAGAAGCCCTGTTCTTTTTCAAACAGACATATTTTAGCAGATGCAAAGTTTTGGGCGGTCTTGTGTAGCTGTTTTAGGACTTTGAGAGCCAGGGTTGAGAGTGCAGGCAGGGGCCATGCCCAGCCCTGCTACAGGGTATGACTCTTGGCACTGTTAACCACTTACTCCATCAAACAGTTTCATGACAGATATTTTTGGTCATCATGACCTAACTGTGAGGAGGAGTCCTGGGCTGATACCTGGGTGAGGCAACACCAGGTGATTCTCCAGCTCTGCGCTGGAACTGAGGAGCAAGTGTAGTCATCCTGCCATGCCTGAGAGGCCAGCAGCACCCCAGGTCTGCCTGTGCTGACCATTGGAGGTGTAGTTCTTCATTGGGGTCCACCATCTAGCCTTGGCCACACTCATGGAGAAGCCCTCAGGGGGGATGGCTCCGCTGTACTTTGTCAGCCCTTGATGGGGGACCTGCTGTAAAGGTGTTATGAATTATGGTTTCTTGGGGTGTTTTTTGGGGGTGTTTTTGGGGTGTTCCTGCAGGAGAGGAAATGGCAGTGGCAATGTGCAAGTTTTACAGAGTGATCTAGAGCAAGCGATTGTTCGAGGGCCATGTAACCGCTGCGGGGCTGCTGAGGAGATGTCTGAAGAGGAGCCGTGCACATGCAAAGAAGGGATGTAGCTGCTTGGTGCAGCCCCCAGTATGCTCAGAACACCCCCAGGTCAATGAGCAAAGGAAAATTAAAGCTGTCACCCATCTTTCACCCCTCAGGATGACACCCAAGGAGGAGAGAAAGCACCAGTGTGGCAGTGGGTAACACAAGTGGGAAGGAGACAGGCCAGGGAGCCTCTCGCCATCGCAGGGATCCAAGGGTGATGGTGTAGGAGGGGTGAGGGTGTGTGAGAAGGAGGTGTGCACAGAGCACAGGACTCCCATCTGTGTGTGTGTAGGGCTGGAAGGGTGTACACAGGGAGCAGGTAGCATATAGATAGGCACAGATGTGAGGGGGTGTCGAATATGGTGTGTGCATGGAGGACCATGTCCATGGAGTGGCCTTCCAAGCGTAGGGACAACCTGTAGCGGATGGGTATGCATGAGGACTGCGTATGTGAGGACAGGCAGCATGAGGGCTGTCTGCAAGTATAAGCAGGTTCTGTATGGCGAGTCTGGGTAGGAATACAGGCAACATGTGAAGTTGTGAAAACTGGCAAGTGTGTGTGAGGAGAGGCAGGTGTGTTTGTGGGGTGTGCGTGAGTGTGTGAGGAGAGGCGGGGTGCATGTGTGGGAGTAGAGCGAGGAGTGTGTGTGTGAGGAGAGGAGGTGGTATGTGTGTGTTTCTGAGGAGAGGCAGGGGTGCGTGTGCAGGGAGGCAGGGGTGCATATGCGAGTGTGAGACGAGAGGCAGGTGTACGTGTGTGAGAGGCAAGGCGGGGGTGTATGTGTGTGAGGAGAGGCGGGGGACGTGTGTGAGAGGAGAGGCGGGAGTGTGTGTGAGTAGAGGCAGGTGTGCATGTCTGAGGAGAGGCGGGAGTGCATATGTCAGAGGAAAGGCGGGTGTGCGTGGGTGTGAAGACATGGGGGGGGTGTGAGTGGTGAGGTGGGGGTGCGAGTGAGAGGAGAGGTGGGTTCGTATATGCATGTGAAGTGGGCGGTTGTGTATGTGAGGAGAGGTGGGTGTGCATGTGTGTGTGCAACGAGAGGCAGGTGTACGTGTGTGAGGTAAGGCGGGTGTGCGCGTGTGTGAGGAGAGGTGCACCTGTGTGTGTGAGTAGAGGCGGGTGTGCATGGGTGTGAAGGCAGGCGGTTGTGTGTGCGTGCGTGTGGGGGGAGAAGCGGGGGTGCGTGGCTGTGAAAACAGGCGGGGGGTGTGCGTGTGTGAGGTGAGGCAGGTGTGCATGTGTGCGTGCAATAAGAGGCAGGTGTGAGTGTGTGAGGCAGGGGTGCTTGTGTGAGAGTAGATGCAGGGGTGTGCGTGTGTGAGAGGAGAGGCGGGTGTGCGTGCATCTGTGTGAGGAGAGGCGGGTGTGCGTGCAT